AGTATTCCTTCCACTTTTATCTCTGAACATTAGTGTGTTTCTAACAGGAAAAAACTCTGGATATAAAATTTTGTGCCGTAGCATACAAATGAAACCTTCAAAAGTGACAAGTAGATGGATGACATCATTACCAAACACAGAAATTTATAAAGGATTTGGTTTCAGCATCTTTTTTTCTTTGTTTAGATTTTGAGTAATTTTTATTGTTCTGTCTTCCAATGTACTCATTCTTTTCTCTGTACCTTCCTTTGGGATTTTGAGACAGTACAAGTTAGCTTTCCATTTCAATCACAGAACACCTAAGATAATTATAAAGAGAAAAGATTGATTTTAGTAACAGTTTGCCTTGGGCCTCTGGTAGGTGTACTGGCTGACTATGGCTGGGAGTGCGTGGCAGAACAAAGAAAGGGCCAGGAAACCACAGAGGAAGAGTTGGGGTCCCATGGCCTCTTTGAAAGGTGTGCTCTTGGACCTAGCTGTCTCCCACTGTGCCTCATCTCTGACTGTTAGCGCGTGGACCTTTGGGGGGACATGCAGTAGCAAAACCATAGCAGAGCCCAGCTGTGCAGCCTTTAATTTACTATGTTTTTCTTCATACATATGTTCTGTTTCTCCACTGAGCTTTTTTTTTCCCAGTGGTTGACAGATGCTCATGGCAGCAGTTTTATCATGGCTACTTTTTTTGGGTATCTAAAAAGTTCAAGAGGGGATTGAACTCTCGACTATGTGTGTGCCCGGCAGGCACTTATGTCGCTGAGCTACCTAGCCCTATCATGGCTATTAGATAGTCAGATAATTCTAACATCTCTTCAGTGTTGGTGTTGGCATTTATTGGTTACTGTTTTTCAAATACTTGATATTACAGGGCTTTTCAGTTGAAACCTGGGTATTTTTGTACGTAAGACTTGTATTTTGTTTAACCCTTCTATGTAAACTCTGATAGGAGAGAAAAGAAGAGAGGGCAGAGGTCCAGGCTCCTCTGCTAGGTTTCCACTGATACCAAGGTGCAGAGGCTCCTCATTACTGCTGGGAAGGGGTCAGAGTTCCATTTCCCCATGTGATATCTCAGTAGAGGTGGCCTCCTAGGTGCTCTTTGATGATGGAAATCTGTAACAGGCCTCCTGGCCCATCCCAGCATGGGGAGAGAAGGGGTCCTTGTTACTGGTTAAAGATGTTTTTGTCTTTTTGGGCCTCTCTGATGCCATTCTGGCCAGGGTTATTATAGCCTCTAGAAGTTTGAGTGCATTAAATTGGGGGGAAAATACATAATTTGTGGAAAGAGGATATATAATGCAATCATTTTTCTGTTTTATCTTTCTGTATGATGAGGCAAATGCTACAACACTTAGCTACATTCCCAGCTTTTAACTACATTTTTAAAAGAAAAATGTATGAACATAGAAAATAATATAGAATAAGCAACAAACTATTAAATAGTTAAATGGTGCAGTGTCTCTTTCTGTGGTGTTTTAGTTTTTACTTACTTTGCAAGTAATGAATATATATTACTTGTGTTAGAAATAGTGAAGAGCAAAGTATTTTTTAAAGATATACTTTTCATAGATGCTATGTTAGATACCTATATGTTAATGTTAATTTTTATGCTTTTGGGGGGGTACTGGGAATCACTTTTTCTACTTTTTATACAAAACTGGGTGTAGAATAAAGATAGCTGACTGTGGGCTGGGGATTTAGCTCAGCGGCATAAGTGCCTGCCTTGTAAGTGTGCAGTTGTGAGTTCGACTGCTGGTATCGATTTAAATAAAAGATAGTTTACTGGTAGTATATATGCTTTGTACTGTACCACAGTACCATCCTCAGTCAATTGGAGCAGGTTGTATTGCAAGTAGTCCACACTAAACAGAGTAGATGTGATTCTAATTGCATTAAAGTGGAGTTTTATTAGTACAACCTAAAGAAGAAAGTATGTGACTTGTGCCTTCTACAAGTCTGAATTTCTTCACAATTTCATTATGCTTTTTACAGATATTACCTATTAGCTTCCAATTTTTTAATGCTGTTAAAACCTTGGGGAAAAGTTATTCACAGTGATATATCCTAGTTGTGATGAATTTTGGTCGATAAAAAAGGGCATTTTAGAAAGATCTGAGCTAAGCATGTTGGTGCATAACTGTAGTCCAAGCACTCAGGAAGTTGAGATAGGAGGACCATGTCCTCGTTTGAGGCCAGCTTGGGCTCCATAGTGAGTTCAAAACCAGTTTGAACCATGTAGTTGAGAGCCTGTCTCAAAAAACAAAACAAGATCTGAACAGTAAGCATGCTGTTATTTTTGTGTGCATGAAGAGAAGTATACAAAGTGTATACTTGAAAGAGAAATAGGAAATTTTGCTAGAAATTATAGACAAAGGTCACAGTCAACTATGAAAGCAAAAGGGAATGTGCCTCTTTACTAGGTCTTTATGAATCATTCTAGGTCCCAAGATTCTCTTACTTGAGGATGTGCCCGGGTGACCACTGCAGGAAGTTATATTGCCTGTCTGTGCTCATCACCAGCCAGTTTTAGAGTGTTTCCAAGTGTCACATACAACATGTTCATTTTATCTTTACCTGGCAGGCAGCTTGGGGAATTAAGATTAAATAAATGGAACAGGTGCTTTTTTCAATTAATAGCAATTTTTTTTTGTCTTTTTCGTTTTTATCGGTACCAGTGATCGAACTCATGACTGCCTGCTTGCAAGGCAGGTGCTTATGCCACTGAGCTAAATCCCCAGCCCCTAATTAATAGCAATTTTGAGATACTTTTATGTATACTCCTGTTGCTAAGTTTTTTTTTTTTTTTTTTGTCTTTTTGAGACAGGGTCTCTCTGTGCAGTTCAGGCTGGCCTTGAGCTCACTTTGTAGCCCAGGCTGGTCTCAAACTTGCAATGGTCCTCCTGCCTCAGCCTCCCAAGTGCTGGGACTATAGGTGCGAGCCACCATGCCCGCCTTGTGTTGCTAAGTATCTTAAGTAAGAGAGAAAAAACAGGAATAACAAACTTTGAGCTTCAAAAGCTATAAATCTGGTGTGAAAATATTCATCATCCAGCCGTAAAGGCAATGTGTTAGCTGTATTTGTAGTGTGTTACTATTGTTCATGCTGCAGATGGATGGTGAGCATATACAGAAAAGCAGCTACCAGTATGTAGGTATGACGTAGTTCAGTGATACAGTATTGTAAGCGGATTTATATTCTGTGGAAGGAATATCACCCTAACCTTCCCAAACCAGTGTTTCCCACTGTGTCTCTCAGATGCCTCCCTTGGATCTCCTAGGGTGCCAGTAATAAACTGAGATTTCATGGGCTCCACCCAGTAATTCTACTGAATCAGAATGTATAGATGTGAGGCTAGGAATCTTCATTTTAAATGTTTTTCTTGGGTTGCTAGTTTAAAAACTATACCTTTTTGTACAAGTTGCAGTATTAGGAATTTACAATTCAATCTGGCTGTACGTTTTGGTAATATAAAAAATGATCAGTTTTTTTGTTTTGTTTTTCGAGGTAGGCTGGCCGTAAAACTCACTATGTACTTGAGGCTAGCCCCAAACTTGCAGTTGATCTTCCTGCCTCAGCCTCTTAAGTGCTGAGATTATAACCAGGCACTATAGCTGAGCCAGATCTTTTAAGCCAGGTTCAGTTGTTAACTATGCCATGCTGTCCGATTAAAGTGGAGTTTTGAGCTCCACCTTACATCAGTTTTTGTTTCTTTCCTTACTTCCTCCAACTCCCATTGTTTTGTTTAAAAGAATTATTCTTTAGTTTGCAGATGGAACCCAGGGCCTATTTATTAATTAGCCCATGCTAAGTGTGAGTTCTACAATGAGCTACCTCCTCAGGGAACAGTTTTCACTAGTTAAGGAATTCATGACTTGATTGATGTAGCATTTTACCAAAATGTTTGAGTTCCTTTAGGATAATGATGGCAAACCTTTTAGAACTTTTCCTGTTAACCTGCTGTGGTATATTCCCTCAGGTTTGCCACTTCTGCTTTAGGGTAATGGACAGTACTTTTATCATAATCTTTGAATGACTTGTTGAAGTCATTTCTGTTACTCTGCATAGACTGATAAAAAGGCTGCATTGATTCCCAGAAGATACTAGAATATTTTCTTCTTTCTTTTGTAGGGCATATCTGATGAAAGATAAAACCCACCTGAATTTTTAGAAAAATTCTGCCTAATTGTTGAGCTCAGGGATATCACCTACTCCATTCATTAAGTAGGATTAGAAATAGCTTGCTTGCTTACTTATTTATTTATTATTTATTTATGTCTTTTTGAGACAGTGTCTCACTATGCAATGCAGACTGGCCTTGAGCTCACTTTGTAGCCCAGGCTGTTCTCAAACTTGCAACGATTTCCTTGTTTCAGCCCCCCAAGTGCTGGGATTACAGGCCTGCACCATCACACCTGACTAGAAATAACTTATTAAAAAAGATTATTTTTATTTCTTGCTCCCTGAAGGAATGTGTAAAATGGAATAGAGGATATTTATAATGAATTTTTTTGTTGAGTTGAGTTGGCAGGCAGGAATACCTACAAGTTTCTCTTTTACATTACCTTATGAAGAATACTGTCAGAGTAAGAACTGGTTTTGTGTATTTCATAAAATCCATGGTAGACTTTGCCTTTGCACTGAGTCAGGAGCGAAAGTACCTGCTAGGAACAGCAGCCATTAACCACATTTGGCTATTTAAATTAAAGATACATAAAACCAAAAAGTTGGGGACATTGGAGTAAGGCACATTTTAAATACTTCTAGCCAGCTGTTGCCAATAGTTGCCGTGCTGGACGGTGGTAAACAGATTCTCTCAGTCATTGTGGAAAATTCTCTTGGATGGCGCTAGACTGGTTATTTCTCAGGAAATTGTGAGGCAGGTAAAAGACTAAAATAATAGAGCTGACTTTGTAGCCTTCCTCGTGATTAAAATTTGTAGCAACTGCTGTCATTGTGAGTATCATCATTTTGACCTTGTTTATTAATGTTTACTTCTGTTTCGCAGGCTGGCAGTGATGGGGAAAGCATAGGAAATTGTCCCTTCTCCCAGAGGCTCTTCATGATTCTTTGGCTCAAAGGAGTTGTGTTTAGTGTCACAACTGTGGACCTGAAAAGGTAAGACATGGTTGCAGTTTGAGGTCAGCTGAAGTTGAGAGTACACACTGTCTTTTTCAGTTTGATCCTCTTCCTATCCTTCATTCAGACTGCATATAAAGAAAATATATTTTATTAAAATTCTGCTTTCTAGACAAATTTAACTTAGGAATATTCTATATAACTTTCAATGTTAGTAAATTGCATGTGGCCTCTCAGTCTGTTTTGGAACTATTGTATGTTTACCTTTAATGTCTCTCTCTTTGTACCAGAAATCAAACTCATGACCTTGTACTTACCAGGCAGGCACTATGCTTCTGAGCTACACTGGCCCTATCTTAAATTTCATGAGTAGCACCCAGAGCTAAGTTTCGTTGTGGATGCAGAGGAATCTTTGAGTTTTTGAGTGTAAACATGGAGCTCAGCCCTGAGTCTCAACTGTGCTGAACATAAAACCTCTGTAACTTGGACCCTAAAGACAAGAATGGGATTTGTAGGTTTAATGTGCCGTTGTAGTGTATTTCATTTACTCTGCTTTTCAAGGAATAATAAAGGTTTTTCTATAATATAATTGTAATCATATTTGATTAAATGTAATTGTTAAATAAGAGCAATTATACTGGGCCCTGTGATTGTTTTTGTAGTTTGATGGGTTGTTTATAACTTTGCCTCCAAGGAGCATAGTAGAGAGGGCTGAGAAGAGCACTAACAAGTAGGGAGCTCCTTTTTGTTTGGAATTTCTTTTTCTTATCAAGTTGGTCTGAGGTAAAGAACATTCCCAAAAGATTTAAAACAAAGATTAAGAATAGTTATACCATGACTTGCATGGTGGTCCATGTCTATAACCCTGGCAGTTGGGAGGCTGAGCCAGGAAGATTGCCATGAGTTTGAGGCCAGTCTGGACTACCTGACGAGACCTTGTCTTTTTAAAAAAAAAAATTTTTTCCCCCCAAGGAAAAATCTAGGATTTGGTAGTGGAAATGTATTCCTTTTTGATATACATGTCATAGCATTATCACTGTTATTTTTTAAATGTATCAAGTTATGAACAGTGTCTATGGAAGAATATGGATGGGCTTTCACTTTGATGGATGGCATGATTGGTATACATTAGCCTTTATGAGCGTCACGTCCAGAGTTTCCTGTGAACTGTGTTCCAATTCTCAGCCCTAGGTTAACTTTCTTTAGAACCTCTGTTGATGCCTTAAAATTATTCTATGATTATTTCCAATGTATTTAAAAAAATTTTTTTTCAGACTTAAATTTTTTGGAATAAGCCATGAAATCTTTCAGAAACCCCTTTAGTTATGTATGTAATATAGGAACCAGCTTTTGAGGATAGTGAGAGTTGAAGGGTCTTGAGAAGATATCACCTAGTTCACATTGGGCAGAGCTATTTTAAGAATGACATGAGTTATGTAGTTACCCTTCTCTTACTTTCTTTTTCCCCTACATGATTCAAAAAGGAAGTTTCCCAGTATAACTCCTAAAAATAGACCATGCCACCAGGCATACACCCTTATTATGTCCTAAAATACGTGGATTTCTCCTATCCATTTTTGGTTTGGAACAAGTGAGTTCACTGCTATGCTCTGAAAAAGCCTTCTTTGCTCAATACAGTGCTCGATTGTGTTATATACAAATAATAGTGAATTTGGTCCAGAAAATGAAGTGAATCCATCATGGCTATTTCAGTCATCTGGTAATTTTCATTTAAAGACTTTTAAGGCATTGTTGCTATAAATTGATTCATACTTGAAGAGGGGTATATGTTTGAAAGTAATTACTCTGCATACAAAAAGTGACACATGTAAAGTCATTCAGGACTCACAACTCAAAAACGTCAAAGAGAATGTGTATTTCCTAGGGCTTTTGTATAAAACGAACAGTAGAGAGCTTTTAAAATTGAAGCCTGTATTTATTGATTTTCTTTAGAAATCTTAGCTCCCCAATACATTTTAATGTTTCTTAAGGACACCTGAATGTGTCCAAGTGATACATGATACTGAATCCCTTTCACCCCTAGAGCTGGCTGTTGTCAACTTCCCCTTCACAAATATAATTGCTTGTAGCTTTAGGCTTTATCCTTTCACACTTTTCCATGAGAGTATGTTTAGAGTCTTAAACAAAATTTCAAATAGTTACAGAGTGAACACTGGCTCAAAAAAAGTGTAAAATAAAGTTACAGAGGAATGAACCATCCTGTAGTGAAAAGTACCTTTTACATTATAGTCTTAAAACTTTAAATTTGACTTTTTAGAAATCTGTGTGGGAGAGAATACCTACAGTGCTTAGTTTGTTGCTTTTCATGGTAATTGCCCAGTTCCTCAGTGAAAAGTACTGATTCCAGAATAAACCATTGTAGAACATTAGAAATGCCTCCCCTGAGAGCTATTTAGAAGCCTACTTCATGCTTTTAAAAACCGGTTGTTACATGGCATTTCATCTGTAAGGAACAAGCTCATTTCTAGTTCTGGCACCCGTATCACGCATTCTTTTTGAATCTCAGTTGGTGTTAATAACTTGTTCTGGTGGTATTCATGTGTTCTTTGTGAAGCTTTGAATTGATCTCCCATTACTTGTTTCCAAGGTAGCCTTAATGCTTTAGTAGGAGTTACTTCTAAACCTAATTTTCTATTCATGCTGAAGTTGTATTAAAGGTGTTTTAGATAAAAAGTGCCCAGCTTCAGAAAGAATTTAGATTTTATCAACTGTTATTTGAACAAAAGCTACAGATAAACATGTGATAATATTAAAATTGGAATGCAGTGACAGATGTTGGCACATGTTACCAAGTAGGGGAGCCACCATGGCCAGGAAGAGAATATCAGAAGGAAGGTCTCTTGAGAGAATATATTCTCTTGAGAGAATAAATTGGTGATCAGTTTTTAAAAATCTGGGAAATCTTCTTTCCCATCTTGCAAAATGGCAGGTGAAAAAACTGAAAAGCCAGATACTAAAGAGAAGAAACGTGAAGCCAAAAAGGCTGATGCCACTGGCACTGGTGAAAAGGGTAATATGAAGGCAAAAAAATCCAAGAAGGGGCAGCCCCACTGCGGCCGAAACCCTGTCCTGGTGAGAGGAATTGGTAGATACTCCTGATCTGCTATGTCTTGCAGAAAGGCGTGGTACAAGAGAGAGTACACAGCTGCTAAATCTAAGGCTGACAAGAAAAGCAAGAAGGTTCTCAGTGTTGGTGGTGACAAGAATGGTGGTATCTGGGTGGTTAAGCTCTGAAAAATGCCTGGATACTGCCCCACTGAAGATGGGCCTCAAAAGCTGTTGAGCCACAGCAGAAAACCTTGGGCCAGCATGCAAGCAAACTGGGAGCCAGCATCACTTCCGGGACCATCTTGATCATCCTCAGTGGGGCCACAGAGGCGAGAAGAATATGCCAGTGGCTTGCTAGTTGTGACTGGGCCTCTTAACCTTAATTGCGTTCCTTGACATTAGAACACACCAGAAATTTGTCATTGCCATCTCCACAACAATTGGTATCAGCAACGTGAAAATCCCCAAACACCTCACTGATGCTTGCTGGAAGCAGCAGCAGCTGTGGAAGCCCATATATACCCCAGGAGGGTGAGATCTTCAACACTGAGAAACAGATACCAGATTTCAGAGCAGTGTGAAGTCGAACAGAAAGTGGTGGACTCATAGATTTACCAAAACTCAAAACCGCTTCTCAGCTCTGGGGCTACATGAGATCCGTTTTTGCTGACAAATGGAGTTTACCCTCACTAATTGGTATTCTAAATTTCTTACCAAGAACCCAGTTAAATAACTGATAACATTAAAAAAAAGAAAAAAACCTGGGAAAGGTTTCCATTCTCCAACTCTCACTTTAATATGAAATTGTCTCATTCTTTGCATTGTCTGCAGTGATTTCCTTCTGTTTCAAATGCAAACATACCACCTACAATTTATTGTATGAGTCACACTCACATGTAAGTTACCACTGGAAGATTACTGTAGTAGCTTAAACAATTTTGCAATAATTTAAAGTGTAACTATGAAACTGATATCAGTAGTTGTGTCATATCTTAAAAGACAGTTACAAACTCATAACAAAATCTGATGTCCATATAGTCTTCAGCTAGTTTGCTTTCGTTATTGTGTGTCTAGTTCCTCCCTTCTAAAACAGTCTTTAGTAAGTTGAGAAATCAGTTCCATTTCCAGATAGATCTTCCCTAACAGCAGCATAAAAGGCCCAGGGAGAGAAACGGGATAAGGCAGGCCAGGTTTTAGAGAAATTATCCATTTCCTGCTGTTGGCCATTCAGAAGAGCGTGTCTCCATTCTTCTTCTTTATGAAGCTGACTTTAGCTCCATGAAGTCCCTAGAGCAGTGGTGGCAAACCTATGGCATATAAGTTATTTGCTTTTCTTTGAAGACAAAAGATAGTAATGTATGAGTTGTTTTTTCTAAACCAGAACTTCAATGTTGAGGTTTCATTGCAGCGTCAGCATTGTGTGATAAATGAGTGGGCTTTGGGTTGCAGTTTGGGCACTTCTCTAAAAGGTTCGCCATCACTGCCTTAGAGCAGTGCTAACTGTGTTTCATGAATATATTCTGAATCACATGTGTGTTTCTGACAAACACATGGACTTGTGCACACAAAGGAAGAACCTTTTCATGAGTTTTGTTTTGTTTTGAAGATGATTTCAAAGGTTCACTGGAACTGAATTAGAAAAATTATTTGTGAATATTTTTCTAAACCTGTTAACATAAACTTTACTTACAAAGCTGTAGTATTACCATATGCATATGTTAAGAATTATGGTAACTATTTGAAATCTTTTCATGGATGCTATTTCGTTTTTAAAATATTTCTCCACAAATTGATACTGAAGTAGACCCAGATTAGCAGCACAGTGTACCACATTCAATCGAATCAATAAGGTCCTTTGCTTGAACAGGGACACATAGATGCTTAGTAATTAGGAGTCTTAGTCTGTGTGTTTGATGAGTGTGTGGTTAATTTATTCAGTTAGAGGCTTTAACATTCATTAAACCAGAAGATAGCAAATCTAGTAAGGCACAATTAATAGGAGTAAAATGTTCTGAAACTAAAGGATTCTATGGTACTAACTTTTGTGTTTTTGTGTATGTGGTTGTTTATATTGTGTCCAGTATCCTCTTGATATGTGTGAATCAATTTTATGTCTTGCAAAGCAGCACCTTAAAAAAAGAACTCAACAGATAAGTTCTCTACATACTTGGCACTTTTTCTCCATTTGCTGAGTTAACTAGTTACAGATAATTATCTTCACGAGCCAGCTCCAATGTCACGCAGTGGTGCTGTGCTCATTTTATAAGCAGCAGCTGGAACTGAACCATCAGACCGGTCTCTAGTTGTTACAAGTATATTGAACTAATTTTAATTGAAAGTAAACCACTTAAGTTGCTTAAAATATTCGCTCCTTTAAAGTTCCTCCCTTTCTTCTACTTGTTTCTTGCTTTTGTTTCTCTTTATTTCCTTTCTTTATCTAGAAACAAAATGGGAAAGAATAGAATAATTTATTTCTTTCACAATACTACTAGAATAAAAAGGCTAAATAATTAGAGGGGAAATTCCCCCAAAACACTGATGATAATGATGTCTTTATTTCAAGGCATGAGGTCTGTGTCCTTTGCTTTTTCTAGATATCAGTTAAGGGAAACATTTGAATGAGTTGAATATTTGTTAAAGGTTTTTTATGAAGTAAATCAAAGATATGCCCAGAATTTCAGCCTTTGTCTACCAGTGCAGTTTCATTTATCTCAGTAAAACTCAGTTGTCTCTTACTACAATTCCTGCCATCTTCAGTTTTTGTGACATGTCTGTAGAATGAACCTTGTGGGTCACACAGATTACCTGAGTGAGGCCCCAAAGTGCCAGAGAGGTATCAGAGTTACAGAACCGTAGATTCTGTTCGGTTGATGATATAGCTTGTAAGACAACCACCCATCTCACTGCTTAGAACTTGTGCATTTGTTTGCAGTCTACTCACCCATTTAGTGCTACTAAAGTTTCTTAAATCTGCTTTCACCTGGAACAAGGACTTGAGATGGTTGTCTGTTTCTCAGTCTCACCACCTTTTTATTGTAATTGTTCGTTTCACATAGGGTCTCACTATATACAGGCTGGCCTTAAACTCATGGTGAGCCTGTCTCAGTTTCCCAGAGCATTGCTTTGCTGATGTGATATTGAAAGCAATAATGACTTTCATTTGCATACCTTTGCTTAGTTCACATCCACCTGCATTATTTGATTTGATCTTTATAGGAAAACAGGTGTTATACAGGTGAGAAAATCCAGATGCATCCACAGAGATCAGAAGTTTCTTTGTCATTTTGCAGTGGTAAGTGGCAGAGCCAGTCTGGGACTTCATCCAGTCCTTTTTCTTCAGTCTTTATTCTCTCCTGTGCCACTTTTCTCGCTCATAAATATTTTTCTTTGCAAAGCTTAAAAGCTGTAATTAATTACAATAGCTGTTATTTATTTTGGTTCCCTCCATGAGTTATTTACTTAATTTTTTATGTACTAGGGATTAACCCTAGGCCCTTTGCAGGGGCTAAATTGCCAGCCTTTTGAAGACTTTTTTTTTTTCAGACAGGGTCTCACAAAGTTGCGCTGGCTGAGCTTGAATTTACCATCATCCTGCCTAAGCCTGCCAGAGGGCTGGGAGTATATATATGTGCCACCGTACCAGGCTCCATGAGGTTGTTTTTTTCTTTGTTTTGTTTTGGTTTTGAGACAGAATCATACTATGTAGTTCAGGTTGCTCTTAACTCACCAAATTGCTCAGGCTGGCCATGAACTCTTAGTGCTCCTCTTTGTTTCACCCTCCCAGGCTGGGATTACAGGTGTGCACCGCCACACCTGACTCTGTGGGTTTATTTTAGAATACTGAGTCTGGTCTTCTCTATCCACTTCTACCCTGTTCATAAAAAGATTATTTGTAAAAGGACAGACTTTTACCTTCTGCTCAGTTGATTTTGTTAGTTATAATAATAGTTTTATGATTTGGGAGTGAAAAAATTGTTTTCCAAGTGTTCACATTTTGTACGTGATGGTATTAACCCTTATTTCTCCTTATACTGAGGAGTGTACCGAGGACCTCACACACGTTGGGAGGTGAGTGTTCTACCACTGAGCTGCAGCCCCAGCCCTCAAACAACTTTCTTACTCATTACTGGCATCATCATCTCAGGAAACATGCGTGTGTGTCTGCCTCCTTTGTGTTTCGTTTTGTTTTTGTTTTTTGTCAGTGCCATGGATGTAGCCCAGGGCTGTGTATATACATTAGAGAACTATTCTACTACTGAGCTACACTCTGTCTCTCTTACGTTTTATACAAGTTTTATTAGCTTTCTTGCTTTGATACCGCTTTTTTGTTTAACTTTTTAAACCTGAAAACTTTAAGGTTTGGAAACAAATATATAAATCTTGAATTGTTAGGATTTCTAGATTCTTTGTTTTTTTTTTTTTTAAATTCTTTATTATACACAAGGTCTTCCTAAGTCAGGAAGAAATAGTTATAAGTAGGAACAAATGGGAGTCTGTGAGTGAGGACTGAGAAAGACGACAGTGGTGGGGCTCAGTGAGAATAGGTGTTCTGGATGATGAACGAAAAGGAGTAAGCAAAAGTAATCCAGTGAGCTAGAGAATAGGAAAGAATTAGTTCTCATTTGGAGGGAGTACTTTAGAAGTAACTGAAATGTTACACAGGTTCACTTCACTATTTAAATGAATGTGGGCCTGGAAAACCTCACTCGGGTTTTGTGCGTTCCCATCATTTTGTGTTTACCTTCATTATGAGACTGGTCCTCAGGGAAGAATCAGAGCTGCAAATCAAACCAGATCTTGACTTTTAGAGTCCCCTTTTGGAACTTAGGTTCTTCTCCGTTGTTTTTGAGATAGGGTCTCACTATGTAATATAGGCTGGCCACGAACTCAGCAGTCCTTCTGCCTCAGCCTTCCAAGTGCTGGAATTAGATATGCACAATATCGTGCCCAGCAAGGAGTTTAGATTCTTGTAGAAGTTCTTAGAAAACATGTCTTATTTTTGTTTGGTTTAGAAGAGAGGCTCTAGAGCTTGGAAAAGAAGAAGCCCTTTTTATTAGAAAATTTGGCTTAGTCAAATAATCATAGTCTTAGATTGTCGTAAAAAGACATACGGTGGCACACACCTGTAATTTCAGCTCTCAAGGGGGATGAGACAGGAAGATTGTTGGAAGTTTGAGGACAGCCTAAACTACTGCATAGTGTGCTCAAGACCAGCCTAACTACATAGCGAGGCCCTGCCTCAAAAACTGAAAAATGGAGAAATGTAGTTGTAAAAGAAGAGATACTTCCCAACCCAAATTGAAAGGTGGAGTCAGGAACTATGGATGAGCAGGAGCAGGAGAGACATTGATCACCGTGCTAAGGACAGACGGAGGGCCCACTGTCTTCTAAGTATCACGCCTTGTTGAAACTCTTAAAGATCTCTTATTTTATTCCAGTTCTGTGTGTGTGTGGTCAGGAAAGGACAAGGTAGGCAGGACAGCTAATTGAAAACTAAAAGTAGCTCTGTGGGTTTTAATGGGGAGGAAGTTCCCCTTGAAGTAATATGTTATAATTTTTTTTAAAGTGTAATGCTTTTGTTTCCTTTTTTTTTTTTTTTTTTTTTTTTTTGGTGTTTTTGTGTTTTGGAGGCAGGCTTTTGCTGTTTTAGTTCAAACTGGTATTAAACTCACTGTGTAGCCCAGGTTGGTTGGTCTTGAGCACGCAGTAATCTCCTGCTGAGCCTCATGGTTACTGGGATTGCATAAGGTGTACATGATTGTGCCTGGCCAGAATTCGTATGTGATATGGATTTTAAGCCTTTCTCACTCTATGTAATAGTTCATCCACCCTGGGTTGCTTTTTACTCACTGAAGTAATTTTGATATTAGTCCTTTTCCTTATTAAAGTCTGGGTTTTGGAAATAGAAGAGAACACCACGATTTAGAATCTTTTATTATTATTATTATTATTATTATTATTATTAACAATAGTGAGGTTTATTATTGTGACGATAATGAGATACATTGTGATACCTATTACTGTTATCCCGGTAACCTGCTGTGAAGTTCTGTACCAATTTCACTACACTGTCTCAGTTGGTTTTATTTTGTCTTGTTCTGTTGTATTTTATTACCTTCAGAATAAAAATTAAAAAAAACCAAAACAATAGTGAGGTTTTGTTAAGGGTAGGAAAGGAAGCAGGTTCCCCCGAGTGAGTCTGGGCCAGGTAAAAGTAGGAAAAGAAGTGCGGTGTGTGAGGCGGATTACTGTGCAGAGACACAGTAAACCAAGACCTGGAATCTTGTGGTTGGAAAGGACTGTGAGGGATAGCCTCTCTTCTTTACTTATGAGTTTGAGACCAGCCTGAGCTACAAAGTGAGCTCAAGGCCAGCCTGAACTGCATAGCGAGACCCTGTCTCAGAAACAAAAAAGAAAACAAAGATGACTGAAGAAGTCATGACACACTCAGTAGCCATCAGAGATGGAGTTACAGTGGTTTGAAACAGAATTAAACGCGGAGGCTGACTTTCCTAAATGTCTTCCCTCTTCATTCTCAGCTATCTCTAATAAGCACCTTACTTAAATTTAGAATGAGAATGAAGGACTTGGCCTTTTAGTTACAAAGGCTCTTCGTTGTTTTGTTGGAGATTATATACTCTGTGGAGATTTGCCTCTTGTTAGCATACTATTACATAAAGCTCTTAGTGAAAAAATACCGTTGTCTTATTCATGCTCATATTTTTTTTGTGCTCATACTTTAAAAAGTTTAGAACAATGCTAAGACATTAAAGTGTTGTTACTTTCTTAGAGTAAAAAGTGATCTCATTTTGATCACCTTTTTGCCTGACAGGAAGCCTGCGGACCTGCAGAACTTGGCTCCCGGGACCCACCCACCGTTTATAACTTTCAACAATGAAGTCAAAACGGATGTCAATAAGATTGAGGAGTTTCTTGAAGAAGTCTTATGCCCTCCCAAGTGAGTATCAGAGAAAATATGCATGGAAACACTGCAATCAATTTGAAGCTTCAGCTTGTGGTTAGAGACCTTAATGATCAGGGCCTTGTTCTAGGTTCCTTACAATTAATGGTAGTCATAATTGACTTCCTGCTATAATCCCAAGAAAGGTGGTAATCTAAGCTTTAAAGAGCATGGCCAATGCAGGTTTAGACCATATGAGATAGGTCAGAAAGGTCTGGTTATTTGTGGGCAGTTGGTCCCAAATTGAGAGAATTTAGGGAGCAAGAAAGGATGGGGTAACAGGCTCCCCAGCCAGAATGTCACAGCAGGCGTGTGGTCCATTGAGCTGTGACATTTGCTTTTTTTTTTTTTTTTTGGTCTTTTTTGTTTTTATCGGTACCAGGGATCGAACTCACGACTGCCTGCTTGCAAGGCAGGCGCTTATGCTGCTGAGCTAAATCCCCAGCCCCTGCTTTTAATTTTTAAAAGTAGCTTCTGAAGTACAGTCTCAAAAATTTAGTTCCCAAGGGAGTTGAATTTTCACACCATATCATTGGAATTCATATTTAAGTCATGTGAATTTTGAGAGGTTCCAGATTTATAAGTCCTATATCTGCTATAGTGATAGTTACATAAATTTTAGACACATAATTTTGCATTGTATTATAATCTTGGCATAGGCTCAAAACATTGTTACTTTGTTCTAGGTATTTCTAGTTTCTTTATCCTAGAAACTGGCTTGTTTCTTTTTCTCTGACCTAACCCTTTGTTGCTGCTTAATAGGACTTTCATGAAACCTCTGTGTCCAGATTAATGTGTCATGAATGGGATTATTGTGTCAAAGGTTTCTAAAATTAGTTGCTCAGACTCATCCACTCATGTATTCATCCATTCAGCGGGCAGTTATTGCGATAAAAGACAGATTGAATACAATATTGAATAAGACATTTCCTGCCCTCAAGAAATACAGTCAGGTATGAGTGGAGTGGAGTGGTGTGGGTGGGTGGGGTGGTGATTGAAAGGCTTTAGAGAGAGGGGACAACCCTTGAGTTGAGCCTTACTTAGGAAGTAAAGGAGGGCTGCAAGAGTGGAGAGACAGTGTGTTAGGACAGAAAATCATTTTGAATAAACCATTAATCTGGGGGACCCACGAGAATGGCTGGAGTGTGATATGCAGGATTGGAAATGGTAGGCAGAGGGTGGTGAGTACAAGCAGGAGGAAATCCTGCCTTTGTCTAGCACCAGGCTGTTGTCTGCTGTTGCCTGCTGGTTAGCAGCGTGGGCCTCAGCCTGACATTATGTTCTCTTTGTCTGTTTTTGTACTAATTCTAAAAGTTTGTCTTCTGCCTTCCTTCTCAGAGCTTGACCTTTTGTCTTTTCCAGGAGCCCCATCTTCTTTTATTTCCAATAAAGTGAATCCAGACCAACATTAATAAAACTGTACCTTAGTGTTAGGGATACAGCTCACTGGTAGAGTGCTTGCCTTCCAAATGGAGTAGAAAGACAGCTTTTTCAGAAATATTATTCCCTTTTAGACAAAGTGAGAGATTTGAGGTGAATAGTCTTTTGTAGCTATCGTATTATATTCATTAAGGTAATCATATACATCGATCATTTATCTCAGAATGTTTAACCTGCTTTAGAGAACAGTGCAATTCTCACCCCTCTGAATTTTATTAATATCTATTTCCTATGAATAAAGACATACTGATTGCAAATCTGTATTTTTTCCCCCTCCTGTTTTTTGAGACAGGGACTCTAGTTCTGTAGTCCCTGGCCTTGAACTTGTTGCACTCCTCTTGCCTCAGTTTCTCAAGTGCTGGGATTATAGGTGTGCATCACCAAGCCCAGCTCACAAATCTTTATTCTTATCTTATCTTGGTACACTGCCTGGAATGTAGGAAATACGTAGTTATTATAAGAATAAGTGAAAGTATATGCAAAATGAAATTCGAGCCTGCTTTTCTGTAAGCTTTTTTTGTTTCTTGGATGGTTAAGTTTGTTTGCTTCACTAGAAAATGTAAATAAAGCCAAATACTTGTTGAGAAGAAAAAGAACTTTGGAAAGTTGTCTGGAGGAAGACAAATGTACCAAAGAAGCAGTTAGTGCCTTGCGCACTGTGGTTTAGAGTGAGTCAGTGGGTGCGGTGAGTGCTCTGCCTCCTGCCTTCTCTGCCCTTAGTCTGCTGGGGGTGAGCAAGATGCTGGAGCGGCCTAGGCTGTGTTTTGGGCCATCAGTCTCTGGTGCTGCGCCCAAGGCTGGTTCAGGGTGTGGCAAACTAAGGGTCTGGCTGCTGTGTAGTGACTGCCAAGTACTGGAAAAGTAACTAGTGCATCTAGGAAGTGAAATGTTATTTTATTTCATTGCAGTTTCACTTACATTTGTATTCATGTAGCTCCCTGCCACTAATGGCTACCATAATAGACAGTGAAGATATAGAACATTTCCATCATCACAGAAAGTCCTCTTGGACAGCACTGCATGAGTGATCTCATTCTAAGATGCCTGGTGGCCTGGCACCAGTGTCTGAACAAGTGGATTGCTTTCCTAGCATTCTAATTTATTAAATGGAGGTGGAGTGCAAATGCCCTTTGGTTGTCCAGAATATTGATATGTGAACAAAACACTGTAGAGCTTTGTTTCCTAAGGGGAAAAGTGCATTTAAAAAGTATTATGCAAACAGATGACAACATTTAAAAGCTGTCTAGTAACTGCTAGCATAATGGTTTGTTGGTTGATAGAATATGTTAATATATCTTTGAAGGATCTTTAATACATTATACTTTTTTCTATTTAGATACTTAAAGCTTTCACCAAAGCACCCAGAGTCAAATACTGCTGGAATGGACATTTTTGCCAAATTCTCTGCTTATATCAAGAACTCAAGGCCAGAGGCTAATGAAGGTAAAAACCGAAATATTGAATTACTGTTAGTACAAAACACCCAACTAATTAAAGAACTATTATAATGACAGCAATTATAAATGATTACTTTGGAGTCTAGCCATTTCTTCCAGGTATTTTTGTTTGTTTTTTGTTTTGTTTTTTTGAGACTGGGTCTCTATGTAGTTCAGGCTTGCCTTGAACCCACTGTGTAACCTAGACTAGCCTCCAACTTGCAGTGATCCTCCTGCCTCATTCTCTCAAATGCTGGGATTGCAGGCATGTGCTGCTGTGCCTGGCTTCTCTAAGTATTAAAACTGTTTTGGAGTTGATTGGAGATTTGATGATAAACTGGGATAAGTTTGATGATAAACTGGGATAAGTTCTTATATTGATGTTTTTCTAGCCAGTGGCCCAACACTGTCACCTCATGTATGATAAGATGTTTAATGAGTGAAGCTATTAAATACTTTTGAGAAGTTACCATGAATGGAGCTACGCAAAGAATTAAGAATGAAGAGATGTGGTTGTGGTTTGAAATACATTTGATTTAGCCTGACCTAAACTGTTACTACATCTTCTGTTTATTGTTGGATACCAGCAGTGTTAAATCAGTGTGAGTGATTTTTTTTGAAGTAATGATCCTTAAAGAGCAGCTTTTGGGGTTGCTTTCAGACAGTTGACTCAACAGCCTTTCAAATTTGCATCATAATGGGGCTGGGAATTTAGCTCAGTGGCATAAGCACCTGCCTTGCAAGCAGGCGGTCATGAGTTCGAAAAAACGGAAAACAAATTTGCATCATAAAAGTTGAATTTCTTTTTCAAGTCCATGTGAGAATTGTTTAGGTAGTACAGATGCCATTTTAAAAAATTTATTTAAAGATACTTTCATTTACTAAATTAATGTGTTGTGAAGGGAACTGTCCTTGAAAATAGTCCCTTCTAGTGATCCTGTCTTAACTGCATCACTCAGTGATTTCTCCTTTCCCTCTGAGATGTTGAGCATTGTTCTCTCTGGACAGGAATGTGTAGAGAGGGTGGTAATGTTTTAAAATTACAGCAATAACCAAAAAGGCTAGCTCTTACCTAAAAATAGTTTTAGACAGTTCTGTAGTTTGGGTGGGGCTATACACATTGACAGCAGCAACTGAACAAGACTGCATACCAAAGAGGAAAAATATTAGTGCTAGTTAAACAGGAAGAAATATTTTTTAAAAAATGAAATGCTTGCTAGGTGTGGTAATCCATGCCTATATTCGCAGCACTTGTGAAGCTGAGGCAGGAAGGTCTTGACTTCAGGACCAGTGTAGGTTTTATAACAGGACCCCCTTTCAGATTGTCCCCCACCCCCAAAGTGAATGGAATTTCATTAGGCACATTTCCAAACCATTCAGTATGGTTTTTATTAATTTCAAAATTGCAGTGCTTTGTAATTTAGTATTGAATTTTGAGTATATTTTGCTCTTGTTTTTCTACAGTGAAGGGAAAAGGAAAAATTTCAGGGCTAGCTTACATCTATTTATAATGTGTTGCAGTAGCTCCCTTGGTTTGGAAGCAATTTTCTTTAGTAATTGGCTTTTTTTCTGACTAGTGTTTCTGTCTAAGCAATTTAGACTAAGTAAGTGGTGATGGTGGACACTCCTCCCTCCCGCAACAGCGCCTTCTCTGGTGCCTGCCCTCTCTGGCTGCTCTTTTCATAAACTACCCTTTATACCAGAGCCTCTGTGCTTTGAACTCTCTTAAAGTTAGGTTTGTGTTTCTGTGTGGCTTTCAAGTACGGGGGAGGTAGAAATATCTTCTCACTCAGTGAGAAGGAAAGGGGACTAGAATGACTGCTTTTGCTATAGGGGATGAGAGTTGGGGAAGAAAAAGCGACTCACTTAAATATGATTGTGGATTCTGTTTTCTCCTGTCAATTTGTTACAGCCTTAAATAGCCACCTACACTTACTGTCTGCAGAATGCTATTACCAGTAAGAGCAAACAGCGTAGTGGATTTTACAGTGCTTAACTTAGAAGGCATTATACTAAATTACCTATTGGTAAACAAGAATCCCAGTTGCCAAGTAACTTTCTCTCCAGGTATCTGTCACTGCCAGGAGACTTAAGAAAAATTTATTTCAGATCACTGTGGAGCTTAATGGATGTCCCTTATATATGTTGCCTGCAGATCTTTTCTCTGTTTAGTATAATTAGAAACCGTTAATTAATCTGGAATATTAGTGACAGCAATTATTTCCTTATTCCTCAAACGCCTCACCCAAATACTGATAATTTACAGAGATGGGTTTGTAATTTTTACATAGTAAAGCACAGTAAACAGACTTTGATTTGATTGCCCTCACTTCTGATGATCCTGGTATTTGTATGTGGGGGTGGAGTGGGTAGGTAATCATTTAAATTTTGCTGTATTGTGTAGGCAAAAACGGGTGTTTTGATTTTCATAATTAAAACTACATGGCCTCGTTGCACTTAATTTTTTTTGCAGTGATCCTCCTGCCTCATTTGACAGTGTTTGTGAAATAGTGTTTTAGGGATACCAGCATTACAACAAGGGGTTCTGGAAAATGATGGTGCTACTTAGCAGTTTCAAGATAAGGGGTTCCATTATGATGGCCTGCTACTGCCTTCTAGTGGTTAATATTGACATTTTAAGCAGCTTCAAATTCTTTTTGTGGTAGTCTTGAAAACTTTATATCAGTTTGTTGAATCATGCTATTTTGGGGACCTCTTCACACCTGTTTAGTTTGTTTTGTTGACCATACCTTGTACTCATAATATAAAAATTGTGTTAAACTAATTTATTCTTTGTTTTCAATAATCTTGAAATTCTATTTTCTTCTTTTTTTTCTGTTAAGTACAGCCATGAGAAGTTTTTTCATTATGTCCTGAACTTTTTACTACTAACCTATTTCTCAGATTGCATTCTCTTGTTAATAAAACTTTACATTTTAGCTAACTGTGCATTATCATTTGCTTACATGCAATGCATACAAGGATAAATATATTGTTTATGTTTTTAATTATTACTACTTTATTTTGAGACAAGGTCTGTTTGTGTATTTCAGGCTGTCCTCAAACTCAGCCTAATCCCGTGTGCTGGGATTACAGATGTGCACCAGACCTGGCCATTTTTTTTAAGTGATTGATTCCCTGCCGCTTCTCCCACTCCAATTGTGCTTGAGCTTTATTTTGCTGGGCTCCGGTACCCTCTGTTGTTTGTTTTCTCTTGAGACCTAATCGTGATCTTGGCTATGACTAGGGTGATCTTTTGTTAATAAAACATGTATATAGATCTGTGTTCTTATTATCATTTTAGTTAGAACATTAAATTTGGCATTTCCTCAGCTAAGAACTACAGTCAGTTCTTTACCTTTTAAAAGTTTTTTTGGATGTGCTTCATAGCGACATTCGGTACTTGACCTCATTCCTGAATTTTGACAAAAATATAATAGTAAGACGGACGTGGTGGTGCACATTTGTAATCCCAGCACTTGGGAGGCTGATGCAGGAGGACCATTACAAGCTTGAGACCAGCCTGGGTTACAGAGTGAGCTCCAGGTCAGTTTGAACTGTGTGGCAAGACCCTGTCTCAAAACAAAACAAGCAAACCAAAAAACAAACACACACACACACATCCACAAAAATATAGTAGTCAAATACAAATGTCTTCACTTACTTGACTTCATTCATTCATTCATGGTGCTGGGTATTAAACCTAAACCCAGGGGTCTCATGCCTGCTAGCTTAGTGCGCTGCTTCAGAGTCATACCCCCATGCATCACATTGGTTTTTTTGGGATAGATATAGAAAATTCAAAAGAATTTATAAACTCCAACTGGATGTAGTAGTTTGCTCCTGCAATCCCAATGCTTAGGAGGCTGAGACAGGAGATTGCTGCGAGTTTGAGGCCAGCTTGGGCCACATAGTGAGAACCTATCTCAACACTCCTCCTCCCCCAGATTCTACCAATTATCAGAATAAAAAATTCTCAGGCTATGAGGCCATTATGAAAATCAGTTGTGCTGGTTCACTCCTGCAGGTCCTACAAGTTAGGCAATTTAAATTTAGCAAGATTGCTTGAACTTCCCGAAGGCTGGGAGACTTCTGAGGCCACTGCATGTAGGTGCTGAGCCGAGGTGGGGAGGGTGTGGTCTTGGTAGAAACTTGGAAGTTGATCTTGCATGTTTTAAGCATTTGCCTCTTTCTGACTCTCCGTTCTTTTGAAGAATGAAAAACCTGTGGGGTCACCCTGCTTTAGTCTATAGGATTAACATTTCAGTCACTTGGGGTGATGAGACAGAGAAGCAGCATCTATCTAGAGAGCTCCGATGCATTTCAGGATGACAAGCGTTCCAGATCTGGCAGGCAGCTCCCTGGGCAGGGTGGTTGTAGGCCCTGGTGCAAGGCTGGTGGGTGGTAACGGGTAGGGCTAGTTCTGAAACTGTGCTCTTAGCAGCCATTGTGGTGATTTCAGCTGGGAGGAAAGGCCCCAGGGAGCCTCATGGGCTGATAGAAAATAGCTCCTTTTTTTTGGTGATAATTTTTAAATACTGTTAGCATTATTCTCTTGATACTTTTTTTGTCTTTGTTTTGTTTTTTGAGACTTGCTATAGCAGTCTTCTAGTAGGTTAGGCCAGCTTTAAACTCATGTAGCCCAGGTTGGCCTCCAGCTTGCTGCTATCCTCCTGCCTCCGCCTCCTGAGTGCTAGAATTACAGGCACAACCACGCTTGGCCCTTAGTAATTTTTAAAGGCTTAGGCATTGCTTTCCAGATTAAAAGTGCTCTTGCCTCTGCCTTGATCTTCCCTGTCAGTATAAAGAAATGAGCCATCCATCCTGAGCCAGCTCAGTTAGGTGTCTACTCACAGTATTTCACTTTTTAATAATGCTGATGAGTAGATGAGCTCAGGTTTAAAATTCTCCCCCTTCTCTTTTGGTGTTGGGGATTGAGCCCAAGATTTAAAATTCTTAAAGTCATGTTTATTGCAACAAATTGTTAGTAATATAATTCTGCTGTTTTCTATAAAGATTGACTTGTGTTGCCAAAAAAAGAAAAAAAATTAGCGAGACTGTCTCAAAACAAAAACAAAAAACAGATAAAATTAATTATATTTTTGTGTAATAGAGGAACCCCATGATGCAGAATGTTCAGGAGTCTGCTTTGTGCCAAAGCCCAGCTAAGGTTTGAGAACATTCTAACTCAGTCCCAAGGGTGTCATCCTCTGCAGGCTCCTCCCCCTCTCTGCCCTCTAGATGGTGGTCTTAAGCCTTGCCCTCCGTCCTCTGCCTGTCCGTCCCTGCCCTAACTTCCACTTTTGTTATGTTTTCAGAACTTCCTATATTAACTTCAGCCCAGCCTATTCCAGATGCTGACCCCCAGCTGTCTAGCAGGTGTCTGTATTCCAGTGTCTTACAGGCTCCTCAGACACACCATTTATATATTTAGTTAGTTAGTGTCAGGAATTGAACTCAGGGCCTTGTGCTTACCAGGCAGGCACTATGCTGCCGAGCTGTATCCTCGGCCCATAACACACTTTTTAAATTGAACCCATTCCATAGCCCCAAATCTGCTTTTCCTCAGGAAGGTAACTGTCTCAGCACATAGCACCAGCATTCCTCCCAGGAGTTTGTGACCAGCGCTTCTCCGCTCCTCAAGGTTTATGTTGTCTGAGGGAAGGAAATTTTTTATGTTTCACTCAATAGCAAGTTCAACAAGGCTTAGAACAAGACTTGCTACGTAGCCTGGCTCCTGTTTATGTGTTGTTGGATACATATGTCTCCCTTTCTCTGCCTTTACTTGGCTCTGGAACCCTGTTGACTTTTGTCTAAGTGCTTCTAAAATCCATTTACTGCTTCTTTGTGCCCATACCCCCTGACATAGTCAAGTCTTCCATCAGCTGTCTGGTGAACTCTTAGGTTAGGACCTCTGTATATTACTAATGAAATAGCTGATGGGCAGCATTAAAACTTTACCTTTTGCCTTTAAAGTTTCAACTTTATTCAAACTTGTCATTATGTGGGTTATCATGAACAGAGTTGTGATATTTAGCTTTTTTTTGCAAGTATTGTAATTATTGGGGCGCATTCATCTATGCTGAGATGAATCGAGAAATAAAGAATAAGGGATAATTGAAGATCTCCTCATTATTTTATATTCCTTTCTGTTGATACTCCTATCACTTCTGTGCCAATAGTTGATGCCCACAGTGTTCCAGGTAGAGTTGGTGGCTCACAGTTCTCTTTGAAACTTAACAATCACAGCGTCCTAATTGATGTGGCGCTTACAGAGGCACCCAGTGTAGTAATGTGAGTCAAACTCTCAAATCTGACCTTCATGCTTTTCATATAAAACAGTGATATTCTTGACTTCTTATGTAATAAAAAACAATGGGGCTGGGGCTTTAGCTCAGGGGCTCAAGTGCTTGCCTGGTAAGCATGAGGTCATGAGTTCTATCCCTGGTACCAAACATAAATAAGCAAGCAAAAAGACACAAAACAAACAAAAGACAATGCACAAATTCCAAGCTTTCTACATGGGTTGTTTGTACAGGTAGCAGTATTTCTTAATATGTTTCTTAGTGATAAGTCCAAAGATTTCTGGTGGAACAAGACTTAAAATTGCAGACTATAATCTCTGTCTCTTCAAGAATTTCTTCCTTAGATGTGTTCATACAGTTGCCCTTTCTCCATTCTGTGTGTGTGTGTGTGTGTGTGTGTGTGTGTGTGTGTGTGTGTGCCCGCGCGCACGCGTGCGCATGCTGGTGCTGAGACTCACGACCTTGTACTTGCCAGTTAGGTGCTTGTGCCCCTGAACTATAGCCCCAGCTCTTTCCACTCTTCTGTCCAGGTTAAACATCACCTGTGTTGGACCACACGTTCATATGTGAGGCATTTAGTGATTGACAAGATTTGACAGATGCCATGAACTGAAATTGGCAGGCTTGTTTATATTTACTTGAACAATCATGAGCCCATCTTGGCTGTCTGGTTCTATGGAGTCAAGGCCAGAGTAAGCACATGATACAAGTTCTTTTGGTTTTGTTTTGTTTTGTTTTTTTGGGACAGGGTCTTGCTGTGTCAGGGTCAGGCTGACCTTGCACTCATTATGTAATTCAGTCTGGTCTTGGACTTGAGGCAGTCTCTTCCTGCCTCAGCCTTCTGAGTGCTGAGATTACAGGTGTGTGCGACCATGGCTGACATAAATTTTGACTCAAAGAGTAAAGCTCCTGCTTTAGGCCTTGTATGGTGTTTTTTTTTTTTTCTTTTTTTTTTTTCCCTTACTGTATTCTCATCTTTTTTTTTTCCCCAGCCCTAGAGAGGGGTCTTTTGAAAACATTGCAGAAACTGGATGAGTATTTGAATTCTCCCTTACCTGATGAAATTGATGAGAACAGTATGGAGGACATTAAATTTTCTACACGTAAATTTCTGGATGGCAATGAAATGACATTAGCTGATTGCAACCTGTTGCCCAAACTGCACATTGTCAAGGTAGGCCTTTTGGAGGTGGTGTCAACTGCCGTTAGACCTAATGTTATGTTTACTGTGGTAGCATTCCCTGCGTGCTTAAAACCTCTCTAATGATCTTCTACTAGAAACTCCCCAATTAGTATGTAACATAATGCTGTTTAGGCGTAGTCAAACACCCTAGAGTTAATTAAATGAAAAATTTATGTCTTAAAATTTAGGAATATGAAAAAGAAAGTTATTATTTACTTTTCTTTTTTTGGACTGAATAAAGATTGAAAGATGTAGCAGATAACTGTAAACTGGAGTTGCTACTCTGACTTACATTATCAATCTCTCCGTGATTCATAACCTTTTATATTCAAGGCAAAAATATTAGGCATTTATTATATGAATCGTTGTATAAAACAGAATAGTAATAACCACTAGCTGTTCTGTAAAGGTCAAAGAGAAGAAAAACAGGTCTAAAATACTGTGCGTTTTTAAAGCATTTATACAGTGATTACACACTTAGCTGTTTCTCTGGATGCTTGAAGCAGTCTTGAACTCGCAGTGTAGCCCAGGCTGGCCTCGAAGTTGCAGCGGTCCTCCTGCCTCTCCCTCCTGAGTGTTGAGGTTACAGGACATGCCACCACACTGGGCTCTATCACATTTCTGAGTCTCAGTTCTAATCATTACTTAGATGAGTTACAGTTGTGGTGGCAGACTTTCTTTGAAGCAATTCTCAAAGATTCACAAAATAATTTTCTCTTAAGATCATACTTCTGGTTTATGAGACAAAAAAAAGCTAACTTTTGATTTTTGTATTTCAGGTGGTAGCCAAGAAATACCGCAACTTCGATATTCCAAAAGGAATGACGGGCATCTGGAGATACTTAACTAATGCTTACAGTAGGGACGAGTTCACCAATACCTGTCCCAGTGATAAGGAGGTCGAAATAGCATACAGTGATGTCGCCAAAAGACTTACCAAGTAAAACAGCACTGACAAGAGAGATGTCTTCAAATCTTCCCCTAAGAATATGCTTTCCTAACAGACTGCTCCTCTTCTATGAATTAGAATTATATTTTGCATGAACCTGCAGTTACTCAAGATTAGGATCAAGGATAGGCAAGGTATAGTAGTTATCTTAAAACACACACTCCTAAGCAGTATTATTTTAAAATTCCTTTCCCTCGCCTACCTCCCCGTCCACAGCTCCCCCCAGTTTGGAGTCACTCCCTCACGAGCTCTTCACGCGCGAGGCAGTTGCCCTCTCTAGAATCTTCACCACTGTGTCCATGACAGAACTCTTGAGGTGCAATGTTAACCCTTAAAATAGTAGCCATGATGTCAGCAGCCCCAAACTGATGCACAGTGTATGATGCAAGGAATATTTATGTTTTAAAAAATTTTGTAGTATTTCATAAGAGCATGTGAAAGGGTTGCTGCTGTATCGGAAACACTCAGTTGAGTCTATCCTGTATGTGTGCTGAAGGGTGTCACCGCCAGAGAAGAAATCTACAGAAAATCACTACGATTGTTATTTTTCTTTGGGTAGATTTTTAAAATCTTGCCTAAAATCATTTCTCTTTCATGTGAATTATAACATCTGACACTGTGTGAAAGCTGAAAGTTTAGAGGCAGGGATGGTATTCTCAAGCAGTCCATCCTTACAGGAGAAACCCACGGGCACCTGATACTCTGTCTGAAGACGGTGTTGTGTGTTTTGCCCAGTGCCATTCGTTTGGAACATTATTGCCTTGTTTTACAGAGCTCCTTCTTAAGCAGTGATAGACCTTGCTGTTGGTAAAGCTTTTGAGCAACACTACATAAATTGGTATTTAGTTGGTTTAGTCATAACAGTATGGTGGTGAGCAGCGTAAACATTTCATTCTTACAGAAATTAACCTAAGGAACATAGGCTGGGTTTGTTACAGTATCAAGTGAATTTTGTTTCTAAAGCATATTCAACGTAAATAATCTAGAGACTGCATTATCCACCCTATATTAAAAGTGATAAAATGTTCTCTTTCCACTTCCATTTACTGTTAGACTTTGCATAGAGAATTGCTTTTGGATTAAATTGTAGCAGTTTTGTCTCATCTCAATCACTGTACTCCTTACACTGAGGAATAGTATTCCATGTTTTTGTCTTTTTGCCTTTTTGATTCCTAGTCCTAAACTAGGAATCATTTATGCTCTAACAAAGGATGAACTTGGTAAAAGTAGAACTTAGCTTTGTGTTGATTCCTCCCCTCCCCCTTCTTTTTCTTTTTCTTCAACAACAAAATGGACTTTGTACATATACTACTGCTCCAAAGACTGGCTGTGACTATAATACATTTTTGGTAATTTTTATACCTAATTTGTCAAAGAAGTGCTATTTCTTCCAGGCTTTTAAAACATATATTGCTTTCAGATAACACTGTTTTCTCCCTTTGGTATGCTGACATTTAGTAAGCACTGATTTTATGGGAGCACCCTCACTTTGATAAGAACACTGCATTTTAAAGTCTATCAGTAATTAGCTTAGTATAAGAAGAGAAGGAAAGCCCCGTAGTGTATCCATCTGGCTCAGGGAGATTCCTTTGCCTTACCTGTCTTAGTGTTCCTTATTGCTGGTAAATTTTGAGCACCGTCCCTCCATAATTAAATGTTGGCTGAGGATTTCTGTGGTTCTAGAAAGTCCATTGAGAAGTTGCATTGCAGTAACTGCAGTGGGTGAAAGTGTCCCAGCTGCGGCAGTCCTAGGCAGCATCAACATCTATATCTGCTTTTTAAACAGCAGCACCTTCAGGTGATGCTGAGCCCAGCCTCGCAGCTTTAAGTATGAGGGAGATTTTACGGGGGTGAATAGCGGACTACGCGGTGCAGAGTGGAGCCTCCTGGCAGGGCTCCATTCCCTAGAGTAGGGTGGTGAAGAACACGTGGAAACTCAGTTGTGAAATATTGTCACTTTTGTATATTTATTTTCTTCATTGTTTTTACCTGTGCAGTGATTACACTTGGGTGTCTTACTGGCTGTCCAAGGAAGGCAAGGTCATGATTTTAGCAAAAGCAGAACTGTTTTTCCTCTGTGGAGAGACGTATTTTATCTCTGTGTCAGGAAGGTTAATCCAAGAAAATTGAGATGGATAAATGGACAAAAGCTAGTAAAAAGGAAGAGCCTGCACTCATTTGTTTGTAGAAAGATCATGCCTTACAATCCTGAGAGATTTAGGCTGTAAAGTTTCCATGGCAGTTCATGTAGTGTATATATGTGTTGACATGTGCAAGTCATCTAATTTTGTTTCTACAACTAATGAATCATTTCCCTCTTCATTTAACCAACTTTTGTTACACTTCAGTGAGACTGGAGTTCTAGAGGAGAGTCTCACTATTTTCCAAGGACACCGAAAAATTTCTCATAAAACAGTTGGGAAGATCTCGTCCAGTCAATATTATCAGTTTCCTTTATTTGATTTAGATACAGGTGTTCAGTAAGATGTCAAATAAAATTTTATTTCTGAGTAACTTTGGCTTTACAACTTTTAAGTAATTAAAATATTTCTGACATTTAGTCTTACAAGTGGATCATCTCTAGAATTTAGGCACTTTTACTTCTGTAGAGTTTTGAATCTCTCCAAAATTGCATGTAGATAGCTTTTGTTTCTGTGCATTTGGACCTGCCACTTAGGAAGTAGCTCTACTGAAAATGGAGGAAATACAAATTATTTTTTCATGAGCATTTTGATACACATTTTGACAAGCTAATTGATGCACCACTTTCTTACACTGGTTATAATCAATAATTAAGAGAGGGAAGCATTCATTTTATTTATAGGCTCTTAATTCTATCCTTTAAAAATTATCAAAATTGGGGCAACCAAAATTCTTGCCGTGGACAAAAAATTCAACTTTGAGCCATAATGTTGAACAGAAGCGGAGTATTTTCTTTAGAATTTCATGAGAATAGGCAAATAAAGCTTATCATAGAATGCTTGTATATTCTTTTCTCTCTCTGGAACATCAACACCAGTATATTGCTGGCAGCTATTATATTAAAAATAAAGTATATTTTCACTATCATAAAGGCTTCTCTTTTTTTTTCTTCTTCATGAAAACAAGTATCAACTTGGGTAAAATATTTTACTTTTTGCATGTGTTTTAGCATGTTTGTTTAGTTCAGGTTACAGGAAAATAAATAGATGCCGAGAATAATTTGGTAAAATCATGCTCACTCTTAGCAAAATAGGACCAGTACTTTTTAACTTGTTAGAGACTTTCTCAAAGAACTACAGCAGATGACGTACAAAAGCATGAAATAGAAGCCTCCTCATTAAAGTCAGGAATCGCACAGTTGCTCACTACCATAGCTAGTGTCTAGCTACTTTTCACAGGTGATCCTGAGCATCGTGGTGGGAACTTGTGGCAGGGCACACCTGCTCATCTCATGGTGTCTGGGAAACGGGCAGGGACTGGGGGGTCCCAGTACCCACGCCAAGTGTGCACCCTGGCACCCTAACTTCCTCCTGCTAGGTCCCACCTCTTAGAAGTTTCCACTACCTCCAGTGCCACCCCCTGGCAACCAGGCCGTTAATACTTGGACTTGGGAAGACATTTCAAGTCCAAACTAGAACAGTTATCTCAGTGAGGTTTTCGAAAACTAGATAAATGGATTCAGAAATTCATATGGAAGAGCTCTGCCCTGGAAGCCAAAGTCTATCTGGGAGTGGGTTAAGAAAGGGGCCTGACACTGATCAAGACCTTGCAAACTTACTAATCAACGGGTAGGCTAACATAGGTCACAACGTAATACGGGAGTAAAATACCAAAATAATCCTTTAAAAACTAGAAGTAAGCAACGAAGACTGCATAGATTGGAATTCAGAGGGGCAAGCCCTCCTGAAGTGAGCTGTGGTCTAGTCTGTTTTCTCTCACTCACATTTTTGAGTTTGGCCCATGGAGAGGGCTTCCACGGAGAAGAGGAAATCACAAGACTCTTGGTCATAAAGGCACACCAGAAGGCTGAGACACCTCACATGGATGACCGGCTCTCTCACAAGACATTGGCTGAACTTCAGAGCTGTGCACAGCTTCCTAGAAAGTAGCATAGGGCTTCTAAGATACAGAGTACACTCTCCCATAATTTCACAGTACTGAGCAGTTCTATTAAAGGGAAGGGAACACAGTGGGAGTGAGAATCGACAGTCAAGAGGCAAGAGGGGTCTTTTGGGGTGATAGGGTTCTAAAAAGTGTGTGTAGGTAAGGGTGTAGCATCTAGAGTATTTGAAGAATTCTTACACCTCAGTAGGAAAAGAAAATTTAAAAATGTGCAGAGAATCCAAACCCTAAAGATGTACAGATGCACAATAGATACCCTGGCTTTGTTCACTGAACAAAATATTTTTTTGTACTGAGAATTGAACTCACGACCTCACACTTGTCAGGCAGGTGCTTATGCTGCTGAGCTAAATCCCCAAATACTGAACAAAGTACTTGAAGCTGGGTATTTTACAAGGATGTTTGTTTAGCACATAGCTTTGGGGGATCAGTGACATGGCATGGCCATCAGTTTGACTCTGAGGAGGTCCTCATGGCAGATAGGGAGGATCACAGTGTCAGGAGTGCTTGTGGAGGATGTCACATGGTGACAGGAAGGAGGAGGGGCCCGTTAACTTAGCCTTGCCAGAGCTAACCACGGTCCTAAGAGAATGACGTTCATTCCTCCCAACAGCAGCACACCGATGTCTGGGTCCCTGCTTTCCACAGGTTTTACTGCCTCCCCACATTGTCACACCAACGATCAGACTTGCAGCACAACATCTCCCGGAGGATTTGCTTGAACCATATGCACACCAGAGTACATACAGAAACACCATCAATCTTTAAGGAGATGTAAATCAAAACCACGGTGAAATGTCGCTTGGCCTCACTAGAATGACAGTAGTTTTTTTCTTCTTTTTTGATCATACTAGGAGTTGACCACAGGCCTTAGTAGAACGTTGTACTCCAGAAGCTGGACAACAAAATGCTGGCAAAAAGTGCAGAAATTAGAACCCTCACATACTGCTCATGCCGATGTACAGCCATTGCAGAGAAGTTCGGCTGTTCCTCCATGAGTGTGTAGCCACGGCCCCTTCCTAACAGCGTTGAAACACATCTACATGTTTTACACCTGGATGCTCACAGCAGCATGATACACAACAGCCCAGTAATAGAAACTACCCAGATGTTCATCTAAGGTGGACAAACAAAAGCAGTACACCATATAGTAAACACCGTTGCATGGTAAATGTATCAAACACACAAACACTACAACGTGGATGGGGGTGGGCAAATTCTCAGCGGCCAGACAGAGGGTCATGTACTGAGATTCCTTTTATATAAAGTGTCCAGCATAGGCAAATCTAGAGACGGAAGGTTAATGGTTGTCAGATGGTAGAGGGAGAGGGAGATGACTGCTAATGGGTGTTGTGTTTATAGTGACCATAGAAATGTCCTGTAATTAGGTAATAGCGTAGTTACATAACTTTGTGACTATACCAAAACATCAGTGAATTGTACACTTCCACAAAGGTGAAATTCTTCCTCTGTAATTGACAGCTCAAAAATACTGCAAGGGGGCAATTTGCTAATGTTTCAAATACTATATTGATAGGCTCTTTGGCAGTTCTTGCATTTTCTTGTGTTTGAAACAAAGTTGGAATTTGTCTAAAATACATTCTTCAAAGAAATGAATTATGCTGGTTTACTAAAAAATCATTAATTCTTCACCTATGATTTGTAGTGCTTCGATAAAGGTAAAAATGATAAAAGATCGAACTCATTGGGTGCGTTTAAAAGCACAGTGGACTGCAGAAGACAAGATTAGTACTTAAAAACATGTTAATAGGAACTGTCAGGCAAAGAGGGTAAAAATGCAAAACAAAACTAAAAAACAAAGCTTAAGACAATGCAGGACAGGCTGACCACACAGAGTGCCCCAAGGAAAGGAGTGGAGTGGAAGCCACTTGCTAAAATGACAGAATTTTCCAAAACACAAGAGACACCCACAAATCTGAAATGCAGTGAACTCCACATGGAATAAGATGACACGACACACCTAAGAATATCACAGACAAACCTGAAGACCGAAGTCAGAAGGCAACCAGAGCAAAATGATTTTCAGAGAGCCATGGTAAAAACTGACGGCTGCTTCTCCAGTAGGAACTTTGAAACCACACCACAGGGGAGTGAATCTTTAAACTGCTGGGGGAAAATTCCCTATGATGAATCAACCATTATATATACCTAAAATGTACCAATAAACAACTAAAATCGCATACTCAGTAAAAATGTTCTCAATATGGGTAAAATAAGGGATTTAGACACGGGATTTTAGAGAGTTTGGCACCAACAGACCTGTGCTATCAAAAGATACTAACAGAAGTCCTTTAGTCTGAAAGAAAGGACTCTAGATGAAAGGACAGAGCCATAGTAAGAATGGAAAACAGTGGACACAAACAGGCAGATAGAACACTGGCTAAATAGCAATAATATCTTGAAGACATGCACTATATATATGTATATATATATTTAAATATATAGCAACAGTAGTGGAACTTGTAAGATTCTATATTTGGGAAGCTGTAAAAGTACTAATTTAAGAAAACAAATCAATATTGACTCTAGGGTTACTGTTAAACATGAGAACAAATAATTTTAAATTAAAATCCATAGAGAAAATGAAATGTTTAAAATAGTGGCCCGGTGTGGTGGTGCACCTCTGTAATCCTAGCATTCAGGAGGCTGAGGCAGGAGGATTGCTGCAAGTTTGAGGCCATCGTGGGCTTCAAAGTGAGTTCAAGGCCAGCCTGAACTGCATAGTGAAACCTTGCTTCAGACATGACAAAAAAATTCACCCAAAGAAAGGGGATTGAAGACTAAAATAGCAACAATCAGATAAACTGGAAAAATAGCAAAAGGTTAACCATAAGTCCAACATTATTAGTAATTATATTAAATGAAAATGGGATTAAAAATATGACTAAAAGGAAGTTATCAAGCTGAGTAAAAATCAAAGCACAGTGTATATGTTATTCCAAGAGACTAGATAAGAGGACACGCTGAAATTCATTGCTGGAGTCACGGGACAGTAAGATGTAACTGTAGCCCAAAATAGGCTGAGCAAGGAGAATTACCAGAGCTTTATAATCTAAGCATTACTCATGTCCTTTTATAAAAATGAAAGGTTTTTAACCTTTTTTCATTAGGAAGATACAATTGTCCCAAATGGCGGTGGTACTCAATAACAGCTTTAAATACGTAAAATAAAAGTTGATCAGGAGAAACAGACAAATCTATTATCATAACTGGAGATTTCAGGTGTGGCTCTTTCCGTAACTCATAGAGTAAGCAAAGATAACAAAAACCTCACAACACAAGCCTGGTAAGGAGTAATAAATAGACAACAACCAATTTGAGCTAATTGGCATACAAGGAATGAAATCTTCAACTGCAGGACGCGCTATCTTCTCAAATGTGCAGGGAGCTTTGAGCAAAATAGACCATACGCGGGCCTATCATGCAACCGGCAAATTTCAAAGGACTGTTCTCTGTCAAGCATGTTCTCTGGGCATAGTGGGGTTAAACTAGAATTCAGTAATTGTTCTGTGAGGCGGTGTCCGGCAACCGGGCGGAGGAGGCAGGGGCTCCAGGTCCAGGCAGGCCCCGCATCCCCCCAACGTGCTGCACCCCGTCCTGCAGCAGGAGGGTCCCTGAGAGCCCTTGCTGGCTGTTCTGGCGCCAGGTGGGAGGCGGCTTCAATACGACCAGCAGGGGGCGCGGTTCCCCTCCTGTGGGCGCCACTCTGCAGACCGGGCCGGGCCAGCTGCAGGCCCGGCAGTTTGGGGAGCTGTCAGCTGCGATCAGCGCCGCCGGCTTCCTTCCTCTTTATCAGATCTGTCAGGGCCGCTGCGCGCCGTGAAGGCACCTCCGGGCCTCCTTCCGTCCTTCCGGTGTCGAACGGACGTTCTCCGGGGCGCAGCCGCTAATCTCACCTCCGGGCGGGCGGGCGGGCGGGCGGGACGGACGGGCCCCCACTTTGCACCT